CGGAAGCCACGAGGGTGTCTGTCCAAAATACTCCCCGGGATTACCATCCCTCCCGCGCAGCCCTCCGCACGCTGTTTCGAAAACTTGCTTCCGAACCGCGGAATGCGATATAAACATCGAGGCTGGTTGTTCGACCACCGATAACGGATATAACCAATAACCAAGCACGGTAATACGGACGGAGCTCGATCGCGCGACAAAATTGCTCGTTCCACCTAATAAACTAGAACCGCTAGCGCACCACTAGCGCGCCGGGTAATAACGAATCAACCTGTCTCTAATGGATGTAATTTCGTATGATTAAAATATCCGAGGTAAATTTTGCGTTTCCCATTATTCGCAGCGTAAATTTCTTATCCGCGTCTCTCTCGATGCGATAATGGAAAGATGGAGGGGAGACGATTTTCCCTCGATTCGTAATCTCTCGATCCGAGGAAAGGTCGGAGCGGATTTTACGAAACCTTACGAAACCGAACTCCGTAGAAATAATTAACGCGCTACACGTACGAGAATTTGCCTCGCCGCGATGACTCGTTGCACAGCGATCTGGTTGGCGAGGTCGGCCGAGTACGAAGTACGGGCTGGGCCCATGCAAAAACAACGGAGATTGTGCATACGTCCCCGGGGATGCGATCAAGCCGCTTACCTCGTCGTCCACCTTAAATGCTCCTTAATATGTAAGTTTTTCTGGAACAGTCCCTTTCAGCGGCGCCGAACTTGTCAGAATTTGGACTCGTTTCCGTATTCGTCGTATTCCATGCACATCCGTCCGCGGATGCCTGCGCGCAACGCTCTTAACTTAATGGGCCTTCTTACCGAATCGATGAAAAACCCACGGGGTAAATTGAATAAAGAGCAGCAGTAGTCTTTATATCAGCGTACGAAAAAAACTGCTACTCGATACTGCTTTCGGTTCCAAAAAGGGCGTAACTATTTATCTTTTCAACCTGTGTAAGACCGTCTTTCCTACCCTCGCCTTTTGGCATACGCTTATCGCGATATGCATCGACGTTGTCAACCGAATTGGTATTCCGAGAGGTTATTTTTGCAGAGAACGATCCTTCTCTTTCTTCCCTCATAATATATACATATGCCTTTTATATACCTTTTATTCACCCGCGGTATATCTTCATTGTTGCAGGTGTTAGGCAGGTACAGGACATCTACGTGAGGCTCATCGACTCTGCGACCAAACAGGTAAGAAACGAACGTCGTTTCATTCGTTATCCCCTCTCACGATACTTTAATCGAGCGATACGATTAAGCGATCGCGATTTTCCTTTCCTCTCTCTCTCTCTCGTTTCCGCGCGATGAAACACTCGGAAAATAGGCCGAGCGACGCGTTCCCGCCGCTCGAAGTATTATCATCCTCGCTACAAGCACTTAATTTTCCGGGGGGTTGATTCCTACCCCTCGAGGAAAGCGGCGACCGCCGCACGTCTGCCCCATCCTGTTATCTGCGCCACGTGGCCAACCCTGCGCGCAGTCCGCGAACCACGTGTTCCCGACGACCCTGTACACAGGGCCGTAGATCCTGGCGCGGCGATAGGGCGCAAAGAAGGATCATAACCTTCGAGCAAACGCAAATACGCGAGCGGCCTGATCGCCACCCGCGATAAGTCTTTTACTTCGTTCGATCAACCTTTCTCCGAAACGCTTTTCGCCTTTAACCCACGGACTAGATGAAACGAGCGGATTATATCGTCCATCGCGAACAAACGATTTCTCGTCCAATAAAGTTTTTTTCTTTCTTTCCCTTGAAGTGTTTTGGAACTTGGACATGTTCCATTCTTTTTCAGATTTTGCACGCGGTTTTGTACGATCTCGGAGGGTCCCGCGTCTGTTTCCGCGCGCGGCAGGGTATACCCACTTTCTTGAATTATTTTGTTTCGTGTCGCGACCCTACCTTGTCTAAGTACCTATAGGTACTTGCACCATTTTAGCAGATTAAATCATCTTGGGGTTGGTCGGTTACGGAGGTAAGAAGAGCAGTAGGGAGAAGAAGAAAGAGGCGGCCGAGTACGAAGGAAGGTTGGGGAAACAGAGAGCCGATGTTAGTTTTAGCTGATTAAATTACTAAGCCGTGGTGGCCTTGCGCCGGCAGAGACCGTTCTTCAATTCGCGATCCATTCCTTTTATTAATCGGATCCGGAGTTGAATCGTGAGGTTGAATATCTTTCGTGACGGATCAGTTATCTACGCGTTAATCTACCATTTAAAACAGCGGAAAGAAAGAGAGAGAGATCGTGTAGAATTTTTAACGGATAATTTTAATGAAAGATCGTTTATACCCTTTTTCGAGAAAGGATTATTCATTCGGAGAAAAGCGCCGAGGAACGGTCGTTTTTATTTCTATATCCGAGATCCGATAGAAATATATAAAAAATGTAAGTGGACGGGCGGAGAGGTACGGTGGAAACATCGGTAAGAGAATGAAACGGAATCTTGAACGGAGTAAACGTCTCGATAGCGATTCTCCGGCCCCCGATTGTCCACGGAGGAAAAGAAAAGCGGAAGTGATAGATGCCGGGATACCCTTTCCGCCTCTATAGAGGAATCGTGCCGGTAAAGGGAGTAGAAAGTTGGATGGGGAGGGATAGGATCGAAAACGAGAAAGCTGCAATTTATACATCAAAGCCTCGATTGAACGCGTCTCCTCCATTCTGGCAAAGCGAGAGGAAGACATACAGACACGAGAATCGATATATATATTTACTCTGCCCGTGTATGGAGTTTCGCGAAACAACTCGTACGAAGTGTTTAGCAAATCTGGGTTGATGTGTTCTTACCGCGTATCGTGTCCTGCAAAATTTACAAATGCCCGCAGTCCTCCCCCCTCCCCCCCCC